TTTCAAAGCCTGTAAAACTTGGAACTTGGTTTATGACAAGGAACTCTATAATCTTTCAATCACACCATACCCTGTAAGACTTTTGTTTAGGGAAAGGCCCTGATGCATTCCTGGGCCTGGTGGTCTCGGGCAGTGGAGCTCTTCTGGATCCCATGTACTTGCTGGGTCTGACTGACCACACAAGTCACCCTTTTGCAAAAGTAAAATCTGCCTTGTTGAGTTACTTTCACTTTGAGTGTTCTTTGTGTGGTATTGATGGGGCCTTGGACCTCAGATTTTATTTCTAACAGTAGGAACAGGAGGTGTTATTTCAGAAATCAGAGTTCCTCAGCCTTGACATCACATGTTGTTGGGAAGGCTCTGCCTCCGCAGGCAGCTGACATTGCAAATGTGTTTGACATGTTTGTTGACACATTCTTTCAGCACCAGCTGCCAAGGCATCTGAGATCTGCACAAGTTTTGAAACAAAGCGACTTTAATAGTAAACACAATGGCAGAGCCTTTGGCCGCAAATGGTCTCATCGGACATCTTCCCAGGATGTCCCCCTGCACCTGTTCAATTAAATGGAGGTAAGAATGTCCCCTAATCCCTCCCAGGCAGGACACACCCACTGATTTCAGTTCTTTCAGGAGATCTTCAATTGAGTGGTTAAAGGGATTAAAAATATTTTTGAGAGAGGGTTTATGTAGCCCAGGCTGGCCTTGAACTTACTGCCTTTACCTCCAGAGGGCTGGAATTGGTCCTTCATCACCACACCCAGTGTATGCAGTGCTAGGGATCAAAATCCAGGCAAGCACTCTACCAACCGATCACATCCCCAGTCTTGTTAAAAGGTTTTGAGACCGGGGCCCTGTTCCTGACCAGGACTGGGATTTTGGTCCCTTTGCTTTCTTGTGGGGATCAATGATGCTCCTTGTCTATTCCTCTGAGTCACATGGAAACTCTCTAACACACTAAGTGTTGGGGGAGGACACAAAGCAATGGAGGGGTGTCGTGACCCCCCCCCACAAGGCTTGTGGGAAGGGAAATCAGGTCAGTGAGTTTCGAAAGGGTGGGATCTGCAGAAGCTGAACACAGACACTCAACACAGCAGCAATTCAACAGCTCCCTCTTAATCCAACAGAAACACACAGGTGGTGCCCCAAAGGACAAAAGCTCCATCATCCAGAGCTGCCATTTTCCTAAAAGCCCCAGAGTGGAACTAGCCAAGAGCCCATCCCCAGTGGGGTGGATAAGCTGGCCATGGTATATTCACTATGGCAGATACTATGAAACCAGAATGGACAGTCTCCAGCCCACAGGAGGCTACAGATGAATCACAAGGACACAAGTAGGCCTGGTGAAGAGTGAGCGCAGAATGAAGAGGAGAGACACGTTTTAGGAGAAAGGGGGCAGGGTCTGTCTAATTCGAACGGGGGAAATCAACTCTGGGGGGACCTATTTTGAGTCTCTGTTATGATTCACACACTCTCTACCGTGCCCTATTATCTAGCAGACACAGGCATGGTATGGTACAGGCTCCGCATGTCTGTGTACTGCAGGTACAACTACAGCCCCCAAGAAGACACCACATCTTCCTGCCATCCTGGTTTCACACCTCTCTTACAAAGGTTCCTAATGACTTAGCTAGGGAGATGGTTCTGGATTCCCCGTTGGGTCCAGTGCGATCATGGAGCAGAAATAGAAGAGGATGTGACTCCGCTGCTGGTGGCGATGGTGGACTCTGAGGAGACTGGCAGGAAAAGAATCTGCCAACAAGCTGAAGGAGCCACAGGACTCATGCTCCCCAGAGCCTGGGGCTGGGAGCCTGGGTGGCTGGGCTCAGGAGCAGAGTCCTCAGCCAGGCTCACCAGACCCCAACACAGAAGCCAAGGCCACCCACAGGTACTTCTCTGAGTGTGTTGTTATTTTGAGACAGGAGCTCATGTAGCCCAGTCTGGCCTTGAACTTGCTATGTAGTTAAGGATGACCTTGAGCTCCTGATCCCTCCTGCCTCCAGAGTGCTGGGATTACAAGCATGTATAAGCACACCTAGTTTATGGGTATTATTTTAAACTGAGTAAGACTGTGGTTCTCTGTTACAATAGCAACAGAAAATGAATATGTAACAGTATTGAAATTGCATGGTGGTGGAACAATTAGGAAAATAAAATTTACATTATTATTATTATTTTGAGACAAGTTCTCATGTAGCCTAGGCTGGCTTCAACCTCAATATGCAGCCAAGGATGACCCTGAACTTTTGATCCTCCTGCCTCCACTCCCAAGTTCTGGAATCACTGATATGTACAACTCCCAGTTTCATGCAGTGCTGTAGACAGACTCAGGGCTTCCTTCAGGCAAGGCACTCTGCTAACTGAGCTATATCCCCACCCCAAAAAATGATATTTAAAAGTCTCCTTAAAGTGATAAGCATGACAAAGCAGTCAAGAAGTGGCGGGTTGTAAGGGCAGATTCACTGAAGATGGACTCAGCATTGCTGGACTTTAAGGCAATGGCTACCCATCATGCTCAGGATAGCTGTCTCACCTGGGGTTCTCATCCAAGGTGACTATACTTACCAGGGGACAGGGGAAATTCGGTCATTTCTGAGACATTTTTTGGGCATGATAACCGAGGAAGGGCTAGGTGCTATTGAGTACCCTATGTGCACAGGAGGCTTCTGCAACACAGCATGATCTGGACCCAAACACCAACAATGCCATGGTTGAGAAAATATGTTGAAGGTGATGGATAAAAGCCATGTGAACTGTGACCCCTGCTGCTACTCTGGCTCTACTTGAATCCCACCCACTGCTGTCTCCACTAAGGTCATTCTGCTTTTATTCCCCAAGCATGCCTCACCGTGGCTGGCTGGTCACCTCACAACTTCCTCTCCTCCTTTAGGTCTCTGCTCAAAGTCACTTCCCTGGGAAGTTTTCCTGAGCTTTGACACCTTGATCCCTTTTTATTTTTTTATTTTTTATTTTATGTATATGAGTGTTTTGCCTGCATATATGTGAATGCAGTACATACATGCAGTGTCCATGGAGGCCAGAAGCGGGTATTGGATACTTCTGAAACTGAAGTTACAGATGGTTGTTAGCCACCATGTGGGTGCTAGGAACTGAACCTGGGTCCCCTGCAAGAGCACAAGTATCCATAACTACTGAGCCAATTCTCCAGTCCTGAGCCTTCCACCCTTAGTAAACTCAGTTCTGTGGATCTATGCCAAGCACCTTTGCTGGCTATGTGACTTTGGGCAGCATAATACTTAGTATTGATTGTTAATCTAGAATCACTTAGGAAACAAACCCCTGAGAATGTCTGGGAGGGAGTTTCTAGATTATGCTGAGGTATGAAGACCCTCTATGGGCAGCACCATCACATGAACTGGATCCTGGACTGAATAAAATGGAGGAAGTGAGCTGAGTACCAGCATTTATCTCTCTCTGCCTCCTAATGGTGGGTGCATGTGACCAGTGGCCTCATGATCCTGCCTCCATGCCCTCTTCACCATGACAGACTGGCCCCTTAATCTATGAGTCGAAATAAACTCTTTCCCTCTTGGGTTGCTTATGTCGGAGCAATGAGAAAACAAACGCAGGTAGATAATCTTTCTGTGCTTCAGTTCCCTTATCTATAAAACAATTCCACTTCATGCTACTTGTGAGTGTTACCATCATAAAGAATGGAACAGGACTGGAAAGGTCAGCTCAATGGGTAAGAGCACTTAATGTTCTTCCAGAGGACCTAGCACCCACATCAGACAGCTCACAACAATGGCCTGTAACTCCAGACACGGGGATCTGATGTCCTCTTCTGGTCTCTGTGGGCGCTTGTGCTTATGTATACTTACCTACACACAGGTACACACATATACATAATTAAAAGTAAAAATAAATCTTTAAGCCGGGGGTGGTGGCACACGCCTTTAGTCCCAGCACTTGGGAGGCAGAGGCAGGCTGATCTCTGTGAGTTCCAAGCCAGCTGGGGCTACAGGGAGAACCCCCTCCTCCAAAAAAAATCTTTAAGGGTCTGGGGAGATGGCTCAGTGCTTAAGAGCACTGGCTGCTCTTGCAGAAGACCCAGGTTCGAATCCTAGCACCCACATGGTAGCTAACAACCATGGTAGCTAACAACCCCAGGGGATCTGACACCCTCTTCTGGGTCTTTTTAAAAAGATATTTTATGGACAGAAAAAAAAATGATTCAGGCTGGGCACGCACCTGTAGTCCCAGCACTTGGGAGGCAGAGGCAGGCGGATCTCTGCGAGTTCATGGCCAGCCTGGTCTACATAGTGAGTTCCAGGACAGCTGGGGCTACAGGGAGACCCTGTCTCAAAAAGACAAAAAAATATTTTATTTATTATTTTTATGTATATGAATGCATTGTCTGCAAGTGTCTAAGTGCACCCATGTCGTACAATGCCCATGGGGGTCAGAAGGAGGTGTTGGATCCTCTGGAAATGGAGTTATGGATGGTTGTTAGCCACCATGTAGGTGTTGGGAATTGAACCCAGATCCTCTGTAAGAGCAGCCAGTGCTCTTAACTGCTGAGCCATCTCTCCTGCCCAAATAAAAATCTTTTTTTAAAAAATAAGTAAATCTTTAAAAAAGAATGGAATACCAAGGGGACTGTGAGAAGGCAGAATGCTCAACATATAATACATACATGTATGAAAGTGTGAAAAATTAAAAAAGAGTGGAACTGCATTTGGTATATGCTATGCTGTTTATACACGTTAACCATTATCACGTTATCATATTATTTTATGCCTACATAGCACTTTGCCCTTTATTCTGTAGCCTAAATATGGTCACAACTCTACTTATCTGTGGAGTTAAGTGACTCTCCATGGGAATAGGGACACTGGATTTTGCTTACCAAGCCATTCCAAATGCCTGGCATAGAGTGTAGGGTAAGTAAATATTTATGGAATGCTGAATGAATGAACAGTTTCTAAAGATTGCCCAGTGAGTCTGGTGCTGGTCCTTACTCTTCATATGGAGAGACATACCGCATTTTGAGGCTGTTGGACGAGTTTCGCCAGAGCTGGATGGTTGTAACCTGGGGAGAGGAGGGTATAGTTAGAGATCAGGACCATATCCAAAGTTCCCCCTGCCCCATTCTCTGCTCCTTCCCCTCCCTTTCATCTCTGTAACACTCTTATGTGTCAAAGGGTCTTTGCTCCTTTGCAGACAAAAAGAAATCCCTGAGCCTTGACTTATGACTTGCTCCAGGGAAGCCTGGAGATCTCTAAGTTCCCCCAGGAGACTCAGTTGTTTATTCAGCAGGCTTGAAATCTGCTGGATCAGAGAGACATGGGAGGAAGTAAATGCTAAGTCAAAGCTAATTTCAACAGGTCAATGCGATGAACTGAGGATGGCCCTGCTATCTTTCCCAGTGTCCAAGTGCTGAGTTGTAGCTCAATGAAATTTTCTTTAGGACCAAGTGATGCCACCTGCACTGTGACTAGCATACCACATCCTGTCTTCATACACACAAGCCTGTTTCCAAGGCCCCACTGTATTTACTTTGAAGAGGGGCTGGCATTACATAACTAGGCTCACAACACTCTGGGACTCAGCAGTGGTTCTCTTGTGACATTATCCATCCGTATGGTCTTAGTGTTGATGCTCTAATATCTCAAGATTTGAAAGCAACTATGTCAATGGTAGATCAGGGAAATAAATTGTGATTCAAGCACACACTGAAGGCCCTGCAATGACACCATGCATCTGAGAGACGGGCAAGAGAGGTTCATTTGTGCTGAATTAGAATCAAGGGTGCGATCTGCTGCTAAGTGCAAAGGAGTAGACAAAATAGATGTGCTCGTGTGTGTACTGAACATCTTGCTAGAAGAAACCAGTAGCAATAGCTTCCTCTGGATCATCTCAATAGATGTAGAGAAAGCATTTGGCAAGGGGTGGGAGAGATGGCTCAGTGGTTAAGAACACTTGCTGTTCCTCCAGAGGACCCAGGTTCAATTCCCAGCACCCACATGGTAGCTAATAACCATCTGAAACTCCAGTTCCAGGGGATCCAATGCCCTCTTCTGGTCTCCGTAGGCACTGCATGCACATGGTGCACTTATATACATGCAGGCAAAACACTCATACACGTAAATTTTTTTTTTTAATTTAGAAAAAGCATTTGGCAAAACCCAGTGTTGCTTCATTGTAAAAATGCTCAGGCTAGAAATCGAAGCTGGAGGTGGTGCATGACTGGACTCCGAAGACTTGAGGAGGTGGAGGCAGAAAGACCAGGAGTTCAGAGTCATCCTTGGCTGCACAGCGAGTTTGGGACAAGCCTGGGTCATGTCAGATCTGTCTCAAAAACAACAAACAAGGAGGGGCTGGTGAGATGGCACTACAGGTAAAGTGCTTGCAGAGAAAAGCTGACAACCTGAGTTCAATCCCCAGAACGCCCCACATAAAGTTGGAAGGTGAAAATTGACTCCACAGACTTATCTTCTGATCTCCACACATGCTGTGGTGTAGTACACACACACACACACACACACACACACACACACAAATAATAATAATGATAAATAATAATGAACAAAAGAAAGCAAACAGAAATATCCCCAAAACAAAAACTAAAACCAAAACTAACCAACGAAACAAAAGCATCTCAACTTGAGAAAGGACATCTATGAAAAAAATCCATGGACTGAGGATGTAGAGTGCTTGCCTAATATGCAGGAGTCCTGGGTTCAATCCCCAGCACCACATAAGCTGGGCTTAGTGACACACATCTGCAGCCCCAGAGTCCAGAATTACAGGCAGAAGGATCAGAAGTTCAAGGTCATCTTTGACTACATAGAGAGTCCCAGGCTAGCTACATAAGACCCTGCCTTAAAATAAACAGAAATGGGGGTTGGATAGATGGCTCAGTGGTTAAGAGCACTCTGCTCTTGCAGAGGACCCAGGTTTGATTCTCAGTACCACACTGCTGCTAACAACCATCCATAACTCCAGTTCTAGGGGATCTGACATCCTCTTCTGACCTCCGTGGGCATTGCATGACACAGGTGCACTTACATACATGCAGGCAATACATTCATGCAATAAAATGAAAATAATAATAAATATTTTTAAAAATTTTAAAAAAACAGGAAGGAAGAAAGAAAGGAAGTAAGAAAGAGAGAAAGGAAGGAAGGGAGATGAAAACTCCATGGCTAATGTTATATTCTACAGTGGAAAAGACCGGATGTATCTCTGCAAGGTCAAGAACAAGACAAGGACTTTCTCTGTCAGTGCTGCTGTTCGACATTACATTAGACATTCCAATCAGCATGAACAGACAAAAAAAGAAATGTACCATGTTCAGTTTGGAAAGGAAAAAGTAAAATGTCACCTCTTTTTGTGGATGACACGATATTGTGATAAAAAGAAGTCCCAAGGAATCCACAAAAAACTGTTGGCTTTGATAAATGAGTTCAGCAAGTTTGCAAGATGGAAAGATCACCTGCAGGGGTTGGAGAGGTGGCTCAGTGGTTAAGAGCATTTGCTGCTCTTGCAGAGGACCCAGGTTTGCTCTCAGCTCTAGGGGATCCAACACCCGCTTCTAGACTCCTCAGGAAATTATACTTATGTGCATATACCCCCCCACAGAAACATACACACACATATAATTAAAAATAAAAATAAAAAAATAAATAGGGCTGGAGAGATGGCTCAGTGGTTAGGAACACTGGCTGTTCTTGTAGAAGACCTGACTTCGAATCCCAGCACCCACATGGCAGCTAATAACTGTCCATAATTCCAGTTCCAGGGGATCTGATGGCCTCTTCTGTCTTCTGAGGGCATTGCATGACACGGGTACACTTACCTACATGCAGGCAATACGCTCATATACATAAAAATAATAAATAAAATATAAAAAAATTAAAAAAATAATAAATCTTTAAAAAATCAACTGGATTTCTAAACACTTGCCATGAGTAATCCAAAAATGAACCTAAGGAAAGTGTATTGGCTGCCATCGTTATTTAACTTTTCCTCACTAACAGGAAAGGAGTCTCCTGAACACTGGATGTCCAGTATTTTTTCAGTGAATGAAAACATGTAAAATATAGCTTCATCTGGTTCAGTAACCTTAGAAAATATTCTGAAAAACTGCAGACCTTACAATATATATATGAAGTCAGGCCAGCTAGATAAAGACATTTACCACCAAGCCTGATGACCTTAGTTTGATCCTTGGGACCTACATGGTAAATGGAGAGCACTAACTCCAGCAAAAATTGTCTTTTGACTTCTAGACACACACACACACACACACACACACACACACACACACACACACACAAAGTGTAATAATACTTTTTAAAAAAGCCAGGTGTGTTGGTGTATGCTTATTATTTTTCCTTTTTTTTTTTTTTCAGAGATGAGGACAAACCCAGGGCCTTGTGCTTGCTAGGCAAGCATGGTGTATGCTTGCAATCTTAGAACTTGAGAGGCTGAAGCAGGAGAATAGTAATTTTGAGGCTAACCTAGACTATATACTGAGTTCTAGGCCAGCTTGAGCTCTATAGTAAGACACTGTCACAAATAAACAAGCAAACGAAACTGCTAGTATCATAATTCACTGTGATCCCATTTACTGGGCACCAACTATGTCCCAGTCTCTGAGCTAAATGCTCGACACTCATGATGGTCCTTCATCCTGCCATCAGCCTTATGACCCAGACATGGCCAGGTTACATAAACAGATGAAAAGCAGGAGATGCAGCCAGATGTGCTGGTATACACCTGCAATCCCAGCACTCAGGAGGCCCAGGAGTTCAAAGCCAGTTTGGGATACATAGTGAGTTTGAGGTCAGCATGGGCTACATGAGGCCCTCCCCCACTGCCAAAAAGTTAGGGTGCTGAGAGGTAAGGGAACAAAGCCTGCCTCCTTTACCTCAAGGCCGGCCTTAGTTCCAGGACCTTCTGCCAGAGCCATTCCTCTCACCCCTGTAAAATTTTTTTTGAGACAGGGTCTCACTGTGTAGCCCTGGCTTGCCTGGAACTTGCTACATAGACCAGGCTCACCTTGAACTCACAGAGATCCACCTGCTTCTGCCTCCTGAATTCTGGGACAAAAAGTACACACCACCATGCCCAGAAGCTCAATATATTTTAATGAATGAATCAATAGCACAGAGGATCAGTCACATGGGCAAGAATTCAAAGGCATCGGACATGAGAAAAGAGTAATCAGTGGAGCTTGGCGCAGGATGTAGATTTGGGGGTTAAAAATCCCCATCCTGGTCTGAAAGTATCACAACTTTAAAAAAAGATTTATTTTTATTTTTAATTATGTGAATGCATGTGTGTCTGTGTATGTGTATGCACATGAATGTAGGTGACCTTGGAAGCCAGAAGGGGGTGCCAGATCCCTTGAAACTGGAGTTACAGATGGTTGTGAGAGCCCATTGTGGGTGTTGGGACCTGAACTCAGGCCCTTTGCAAAAGAAGGAAGTGTTTTTAACTGCTGAGCCATCTCCAGCCCAGTATCACAACTTTTACCATACATATAGCAATGTCTGTTCCCCCTACAACCCCTATGGTGAAATGTTAGCCTCCGAGGTGCTAGTGTTAGGGGGTAAGGTCTTTAGGAGGTGATTAGGTCATGAGGGTGGAGCCCTTGTGCAGGAACTCAGTGCCTTTATAAGAATCCAAAGGAGTTCTTTTGCGGCTTCCAGTCTTGTATGGATATGGTAGACAAGCATCACCTTTGTTCCAGAAAGCAAACACTCTTCAGACCCTGAATCTGTTGATGTCTTAACCTTGTACTGCCCAGTTTTGAAAACTGGGAGAAAGAAAAGTTTGTTGTTTATAAACTACTCAGTCTCCAGCAGCTCCAATGGACAAAGACATGTAACTTGTACTTATTTTCTTTACTTTTTAATAGAAATAGATGTTCTTTGAAAGGAGACTTTATATCACTGTTGCTAGAGATGGAATGAAGTGGGAACAAGCAACATGGTTGTTTGCCTAAGACTGTGAACCCTGGTGCCTGTTTTCCTCCCTGAGGGACTGTTAAGTTTAGACAAGTATTAAAGACTGAGCATCAATCAGACAAGACTTTCTCCATAGAATAAAAAAGAATTAAAAGAGACAAGAAAATCTTTGTGGTTTCATTGGCCTGCTGTGGAGGATGGGCTGGGGGAGTTGAAGCAAGGGCACCCTCGAGAGAGAGTTAACATATTCCAGCCTCTTCCCTAGCCCACGCGAGTTTTGCTGGGCCCAGGGCTGGACACTGTTCATCACTCAAGGACAGAACACTCTGGGTTTTTCCAACCATTTTCTGGCCAGAGATTTGGCTTATCATGCTGCCTGGGTGTTTATGACTTTTCTGCCTCAGTAGATAAGCCAAGTCTGGTAAATCTCATTAAGCCGAAGAGGCAACTTGTCTCATTGGCCCTTGAAGGACAGCGATGAAAACAGAACTCTAATCAGGGAACCTTCAGCCAGGCTTCAGGTTGTAGGACCCCTACTACAGGGCAGGTGCCTGCAAAGGCTTCTCCACACAAATGCGCATAAGAGGTGGAGTCACTGGTCCTTATCTGGCTTGGTCTGGGACTCCCTGTACACACTGGGCAGACCCTTGGACCTCCTGAAATCTGCAGTGAGTCAGTTGGAGGTGATGTCTAAAGACCCTGTTACAGGGCTGCAATGAAGTGCTTAGTGACATGCCAGGTATCTGGTAAGTTCCTAGTGAGTATTAGCTTAAAAAAAACAGCTGGAAGCTGGGTGTGGTGGTACATGCCCATAATGCCAGTCCTTGAGAGGCAGAGGTAGGAGCCAGCACATAGTGAGCTCAGACCCAGCCTGGGAAAGGTGACTGAGTGGGTTAAGCGTGGCAACTTGGGTTCAATCTCTGGAAGAAAGGAATTGACTTCTGCAAGATGTCCTGTGATCTGCATTCTTGTTCCATGGCATGCACACACACAAAAAAATAAATAAAATGTACAACAAACAACAGCAATGAAACAAATGGGAGAAGGTTTTCTTGTGTCTTTCAAGCCTCAGAGCCTTTGGAAGCTGAGGTATCCCTGAGCAATGGACCCTCACAGAGAATGAGCCACCATTACATCTCAATAGGAAACAAACAGGTCTGAGGATACAGGCTGGGGAGGTGGAGGAGGAGTGGACATATCAGGCTGGGGGCTTGGGGAGACCCCAGGGTGCAGAGAGGTGGTGGTGGGAGCTGACAAGGGAGCACCAGAAACCCTCACCCCCATGCCTGTCTCCTCTGCCGCAGACAGTAGCACCATCTGCAAAGAGATGGGCACAGCCCACAGGCCATTGAACCATCCAGGCATCCACCAACCAAAGGGGCTGTAACCATCCAAGCTGCAAATAACAGCTATTGCATTTCCAAATTAGTCCTGTCTGTCTCGTCTGTGTCACATTCTGTGAGGCTGGGAGGTGAGCCCAGGGAGGCAGGTGCTGTAGCATGCACAGAGGTCACGTTTCCCAGGCAGGTCACCCATCTTTCAGCTACTGTGTGTGTTGGTTGGCAACGGCTCCAGCTGCCTCCTCATTTGGAAACTGCTTTCCATGCAGGGAGGCTGCTTTGCTGGGAGATCACATGCATCCTCCTTTTGGCAGTAGAGGGGCAATGAGTGGCCAGCACAGGGGAGCAAAAGGCCAGGCCTTCTGCCTCAGTCTGGCACCCAGAGTCTGCTGTTGTGTCTAGCTGAGACCTCAACCTAGTGATATTCTCTTGTTGGATGCCATTTCCCGCTTTCCCTTTGTACTGAGTGGTTTCCCTCAGCAGACTATTTGCTACAGGATCCTTGCCTCTGGCCGTTAGGAAACCTAGCCTATACTTCTGCATTGAGCTGTGATTGCTCTGAAAGCTAGGTACCTCTCTAAGCTTTCTTTCCCCTTCTGCAAAAGGGGGAGATGAATGCACACTCACCTCATTGTTTGGGTGTGGGGGATAAAATGCGAGAAGCCCTGTTCCAGGCTGGGTCACAGAGGCTACACCTGTGTGGGGGGGGATCAGCCACACTTACATTATAGCTAGTACCTTTTCTAAGTTGCTAGGCAACAAGTGAGTAACAGCCCCAAGGTAAGGATAATTTCCTACATTACTGTTTATATCTTATCTAGTACCTTCACTAATCCATTAAACTCAGAACCCTTTCTCTAAGCTCAGAGACCCCTACCCTCTAAAGTCTACCAATGTAAGGATTTTTCTTTGCTCTGCTGGTTGCTATTGGATCCCATCCCATCCCTCCACTCCCTGCCCTGCCAACACCCGCACCTGCTATGAGTGCCAGCATTTCACCTGAAACCCATCTCAGACCATCTCTCTACTGAACCTGGAAAGAATCTCTGTTATTTAAAACTGTATCTAATAATATTCCATTATTATTCTTCACCATTATTTGTTTCTTCTCTTATGCTTGGGTGAGGGGACCTGGCAACACAATGGGGACAAACATCCAAAGCCTGACATCCATAACAAAGAGGGAGAGAGACATGACTTTCTAGTTCTTACCTATGGGGACAGATGAGATCTGGGAATAGAGGTCCAACATACGGTTGCCATCCACATCCACCAGGTAGTTGCCTCGGCTCTCTTCATAATTGCAGAAAAAATGCACAGCCTCTGCATTCTTGGGAAAGAGGAGACTGGTTCAGGCTAGGTATAACTCCTCAGATCCTTAATCTTTTAGTTTGGTTTTTTTGAGACAGGGTCTCCCTGCAGCCCCAGCTGGCCTGGAACTCAGTTATGTAGACCAGGTTGGCCTTGAAGTCACAGAGATCCGCCTGCTTCTGCCTGCCAAGTGCTGGGATTAAAGGCATGTACTATCATGCTGGGCTCAGATCCTTAGTCTTTTAGGACGTGGAAGCAGACTGTGTCCTGCTTGTTCTAACACACAGGAGGATTCTGGGTGCTGGCAAGGCTTTATGTCTTGCTGTGGAAGTAATGACACAGGTGGTTTGCTTTATAATAGTTCACAAATCTATGGTTTTGCATTTTGTGAAATTTTATGTTTGGTTTATCATAGCAAAAAAGATTTGGAAATAAGTCAAAAGCAAATTCTGGTAAGTTAAAGAATATGTGCTAAGCCTCAGAGAAACAAGTAAGAGAACTGGAATGATAGGGCTGGGGATGGCTGAGTGCTTGCTGCTCCCAGCACCTATATCAGGTGGCTCACGACAGCCTGTAACTCAGCTCCAGGGGATCTGAAGCCCTCTTCTGACTTCCTCAGACACCTGCACACACATGTGCATACACAAACACACACATAATTAAAAACAACAAAATAAAACTTAAAAAAAAGAAAAATGTGACACACAAAAAAATCACTTAATGTGCAAACAAACAGAATGGTAAAGAGAGAAAGCAGAGCAAAGGGAGACACTAGACACGTGCAGAGCAGGAGGTAGACAGGAAGACGCACATATAGCTGCACCAAGAATAACAACAAATACAAAGGGGCAAAACCAGCCAATCAAAAGTCAGAGATTTGGGGTATGGTGGTGTGTTCCTGTAAATCCGGTTCTCAGGCGGTAGAGACAGTAAGGATGATGAACTGGAGACTAACCTGGCTTATTTAGTGAGATCCTATGTCAAGATAAAAATCAAATCATCAGCTGGGTATGGTGGCACACGCCTTTAATCCCAACACTTGGGAGGCAGAGGCAGGCAGATCTCTGTGAGTTCAAGGCCAGCCTGGTCTCCATTAGCGAATCCAGGCCAGCTGTGGCTATAGGGAAACCTTGCCTGAAAAAGACCAAAAAAAAAAATCAAATCATCAAACGAAGAGAAATCAAAGCATACTCTACCCAGCAGGAGCAGGATACACATCCATAAGCACATAAAACATTCTTCAGGACACAACATATGCCAGGTCATGAAAAAGGATCCACAAGTTAAAAAGGAGAGGCTGATAAGATAGGTCAGTAGGTAAAACTTCTAGCTCCCAAGTCTGGCAACCTGAGTTCCATCTTTGAACCCACAAAGTGGAAGGAAAGAACTGACTCCTGAAAGTTGTCCCCTGACCTCCACACTGTAGGTCCCCACCCCCAATGCCCAAAATAAATAAATAAATAAATAAATAAATAAATAAATAAAAATGTTTAAAAATATAAAGGAACTAGAAAAACACAGTATGCTTTCCAAACACAATGGGAAAAAAACCCTAGAAATCAGTAACAGAAAGAAGTTTGGGGAACTCACAAAAGTGTGATGATGAGATAAAAGAAGGGATCATGAGGGAAACTGGGAAGAAGGTTTAGAACAAAAGTGAACTGCATTTCTAAAAAGAGCCAGTAGAGACTAGGTATCTGTCCCTTAGTGACACTTAATAAAGATGCAGTTGGGTTGGAGAGATGGTGTAGTGGTTAAGAGGACCTGAGTTTGGCTTCTAGAACCTATATTGGATGACTCACAATTACTGGTAACTTCAGCTCCAGGGGATCTGATACCCTCTTCTGGCTTCTGTGAGCACTTGCACTCACATGCACATACCCACACACAGACACAGACACACACACACAGACACACACACACACACACACACACATACACGCACGTGTGAGCGCGCACACACACACACATACACGCATGTGTGAGCGCGCGCGCACACACACACACACACACACACACACAAATAAGACAAATATTTGAAAAAGGCAGAAGAAGGAATGACCTTGTGCCTACTTACCTGAATTGTGTTCAGCTGTTTCATTAACTCCTGTAGGGAAGAAGAAGACAGGGATGGACCACACACTTTCCAAAGTCGCTTAAAAATCTCTCATGTTTACCCAGTTCTTGGGATTTTGTCTTTCACTCTGTTGCCAAGAACTTGATAGTTTATTAGTCATTATTAAAAATAATTTAACCAAGCGTGGTGGTGTATGCCTGTGATCCCAGCATTCAGTAGGCAGGTAGATCTTTATGAGTTCAAGGCTAGCTTGGTCTACGGAGCAAGTCCTAGGCCAGCTGTGGCTACCAGGAGACCCTGTCTCCAAATAAATAAATAAATGAATAAATAAATAAATAAAAATAAATAAATAAAATGCTGAAGGTATTTAGTGTCCATCAAAAAGATTCTGTCTTTTTTGTGGTGTTGGGGATGGAACTCAGGACCTTGTTCATGCTAAGCAAATGCTCTACTGTTGAGGTAAATCACGGGTCCTCATTTTTATCTTAAATTTTTATTTGTTTTATTTAGTGTGTATGTGTGGGGTGCACACACACACCCCACAGTGCAAGTGTGGAAGTCAAAGAACAACTTGTAGGATTCTGTTTTCTCCTTCCACCATGTGCATTCTGGGTATTGAACTCAGGTCACCAGGCTTGGCAGCAAGTGCCATCTCACTGGCCCATGCTCTCACCTTTTAAAAAGCCAGTGGTAAAGTGTTTACCAACTGTGTGCAAGGTTCTAACTTCAAAGTTCAGTCCCCAGCATTAGGGGAAAAAGGGCTTTAACCCTTTCCAGGAACAGAGGGAGAAATCAACTGACGTTATGACTCTGCTTATCAAAAAACCACTCACTCTGATTACTGTTCAAACACTCCACCAGCTGCTATCACAATTCTATATAGAAACTAGGAATCAGAAACCACTTGCTTTGATGTTAGCAAGATTTCAGCTCCAAAAATAATTTGACATAAAATAAACTTCAGCAATTAGTGTCAAAATGTATACTACCACCCAAAACATAAAATAACATTAACAACAAAAATACAGTTATTCTAAGCATTTTACTTCTATTAAATTAGAATTCACCCCAATAGAAATATGCATGAAAGGCTCTCTCCTTGTTTGACAAACACCATCTTAAACTTGTATTATCATTTACATTCAATAAATATATCTGAACTTATAATAGTTGCAATGCTAAAGGGAATTATCTTTTTTGCAGTGAATCAAAACACTGGATACCACTGTGGATTAATATGTAACCGTTCCATCTCCAGGGGTTCTGATGCTCTCTTCTGGCCTCTGAGGGTACCTGCATAGGCACACATACTTATACACATAAACAATCTGAAAAAGAAAGCATGGAACAGTTTATACTGCATTCCTTGCTTAGAGTAGAATGTCATCTTTTATTTACATTATTGAAACAGGGTCTCAAGTAGCCCAGGCTGGAATTGAACTTTCTATGTAGCAGAGGATGACCTTGAACTGATTCCCTTGTGTCCACATCACAAGTGCTAGGATCTCAGGTTTGCACCAAACACTCAGCTTAAATGTCTTCTTCATTCTTATAATTTTTAATTATTTTTGTGTTATTATACAAAGTAATGGATTTCATCATGGTACCATCATTCATGTGTTAAGTACTTTGTTCTCAACTGTCCCTCACTAACTCCCTCATGTTCCCTGCCCACCTCTGGCTCCTTCCCTTCCTTCCCCAAGTTAGTTCCCTCTTCTGCATTGTTATCATACATACAGGCAGCTTTCTTTATGTTAAATTTGTCTTTATCCTTCAAGATCAAAATCAAGGGCTTTGCAATCCAGGCCCTATGTCATATAATAAATACTGCCTTATTACCAGTGTTAGTTGCATGTTGACTCTGGACATACAACAAGCCATGCAACTTGCTTTGGCCAATAATGAGATGGGGGTGCAGGCCAGCCCAAGTGGAACTTTGGTCTCAATGGGCTTGCAGCACAATTAGAATAAGCCCAGTGTCACAGTCCAGGGGATCAGAGAACCACAGAGCATAGCCAAATCACTGCAGGCCTAACCTGTACCAGCTGACAGCCAGCCACCCACTAGGCATGCAGATGGCACTAACAAGGCCGCCTACCCAAACACCAGTCAGCCCTAAATGCAGGAGCAATTGAACACCACATGTTCCTGAGGCTTCTGTGACATTCTGTTGGGCAGCATTCTGGTGACAGCACGCACAGGACACTCTTGAAGCCTTACCTGATCTCTCCTGCACAATGGCCTAATTTATTTCCACACTGCTTCCCTAGTAAAGGCTCTGGAAGTGACCCCATGCTGCCTTGTTCCTGCTTCATGGGTCTCCTTGGGTGTGCTTGACTTACCTGAGATCTAGGCCCTGGGACTTCCGTCTTCATCAGTGGCCCATCGTAATCAAATTCAACATCCACTTTGGCGGCAGCTTGACTGATGTATCTGGATCCTGCAGCATAGAAGACAGCAGATACAAAGCAGATCGGCCCAACAGATGCCCTGAGTCCTTAACAAGTGGTGCCAAGACCTCAGCTTTATTCTCCCCCAAACCTCACATCTTAACAGGTCTGGACAGTGCATGGACAATGCAGACTTTAAAATGGGAAAAGTCAGTGGAGTTGTAGGAAAGCAGGCACACTCCTGGCTTAGTGGGGCAAAGATCGACTGATACTAGTTTCTTATTCCATACAGACATTTTTTAAAATTACTTTTATTTATGTGTATGTGTGTGTGTTTGTCTGTGTAACATGTTTGCATTGCTCACAGAGGCCAGAAGAGGGTGTCAGGTGCCCTGAAACTGGAGTTACAGGTAGTTTTGAACTGCCTGATATGGGTGCTAGGAACTCAAGTTCTGTCTTCTACAAGAGCAGCAAGGGCTCTTAACTGCTGAGCCGTCTCTCCAGCTCCCCTTTTCATTTTTGGGAGATGCATACTAAGAAAATTATGGGCTCAGTATACAAAGATGCTGGTCAAAAAATATTCATCACAGCTTTGGTTATATAGCTCAGTGGTACAGCACCTGAGCTCTTAGCATGTGGAAGGCTCTGGGTTCCATCGTGTGTGTGTGTGTGTGTGTGTGTGTGTGTGTGTGTGTGTGTGATGTGTGGAACATGTGGGCATGCGTGTACCATAGTGTATTTGTGGAGGTTAGAGGACAACTTTCAGGAGTTGGTTCTCTTCTTCCACTGTGGGTTCTAGGGATTGAAGTCAGGTTGTTAGGCATGAGGGGGAGGGCAGTGCTTTCACCTGCTGAGCGATAGCCCACCAGATCAAAAACTTCTTTCCAGAGGCTGGAGAGATAGCTCAGTGTTTAAAAGCACTTACTGCTCTTGCAGAGAATCTGAGTCAGGTTCCCAGAATCCACATCAGGTGGCTCACAACTGCCTACAGTTCTATCTCCAGGGGGTTCTGATTCTCTCTCCTGGCCTCTGAGGGTATCTGCATGGGCACACATACTTATACACATAAACAAAATACATCTTTAAAAGACTCAGTCCAAATTTAATCCAGATATATAAGCAGAGTCCCTCAATTTTGCTGCCTCTGGCACACTGGCTAAGTTAATCCTTTGCCAACATGTTGGCTGGATAATCCTTTGCTGATCCACACACTGTTGGATGGTTAGAAACATCTTTGGCATCTGACTATGAGATGCAGGATACAGCAGTACCCAATTAAATTCTAGTTGTGAGAGTAAAAATCACTTAGGAGGGAAGCGGGGTATAAGGGCATATATCTAATTATAGATACTAGGAAAATGGAGGGAGGAGATCCTTTGAGTGCAGGAGTTCAAGGCCAGTCTGGGAAACATAGTAAGACCTTATATACATCAATTACTTTTCTCATTGCTGTGACAAAATACCTGAAAAAAGAAACTTAAAGAAGAAAGGTTCGTTATGGCTCACAGTTTGAAGAGACACAGTTCATTATGGGGAAGTCATGACAATAGGACTCTAAGGTGGCTGGCCATGTTGTGTCCACAGTCAGGAAGCACAGAGAGATGAATGCTGGCATTCAGCTTGATTTCTCTTTTTTATTCAGTCTGGGGTCCTAGCGATTGGAATGGTATTGCCCACAGTCAAGGTGGATCTTCCCACCTCATTCTAATCTAAAAACAAATCTAGAGATTTGTTTCTTACATGATTCTACACCTTGTCAATAAATACTAAGCATCATGGAGCCATGAGATGGTTTAGCGTTGAGGACCCGAGTTCCATTCCCAGCACGCCCCCTGCGCCCCCCACACAAAAAAAACCAAACCAGGGCATAGCAGTGTGTGATTCTAATCCCAGTGCTGGGGAGGTGGAGAAAGGAGGGTCCCTTGGGCTCTTACTGGGGTCACCCTGCCACTGTAATATAAGTATAATATAAGTATATCAATATAAGTATATGTATCAGCAGATATACATAACTTCACTTATCCTTATATAACATGCATATATTATCTATCTATCTATCTATCAATCTATCTATCTATCTATCATCTAGCTATCTGTCATCTATCTATCATTTATCTATCGTTTATCTATGTATCATCTATTTATCTATCTATCTAATCTATCTATCATCATCTATCTATCATCTATATATCATCTATGTATCATCTATCATCTATATCATCTATCTATCTATCATGTATCTATCTATCATCTATCATGTATCTATCTATCATCTATCATGTATCTATCTATCATCTATTATTTATCTATGTATCATCTATCTATCTATCTATCTATCTATCTATCTATCTATCTATCATCTATCTATCTATCATCTATCTATCTATCATCTATCTATTTTCTACTATCTCTCTATCACTTTACCATCTACCATATGTCAATGATCTATCATCTACCTACTCTCTCACCTATCTTCTCTCATCAATCAGTCAATCAACCAGTTATTTATCTATGTTATCTATCTATCTTCATTATCATCTATTGATCATCTAGGGGCTAGTGAAAGGGCTCAGGGATTAAGAGCACTTGCTGCTCTTCCAGAGGATGCAACTTTGGTTCCTAGCACTCAGTGTCCTTTGGTTTACAGCTGCCTATAATTCCAGCTCCAGAGGATTTAATGCCCCCTCTGGCCTCGGAAGGCAGGCAGGCAGGCACGCACGCACGCACGCACGCACGCACGCACGCACACACACACACATAAAAAGAAACCTTGGAAAGGCTAACTGTCTTTCTATCTACCTATCTGTTACCCATCATTTATGTATTTCACTGTCTCCATCATATAGGATGACAAATTAGAGCATCAAGAAGTTGAAGAGGAAAATGTGTGTCCGGGGCTGGAGCATGGCTAAGTGGCAGAGCAAATCCCTGGGTTCAATCCCCAGCACTGCAAATGTAGACAAACACAGGCACACACAGATAGCTTGTCAAGCTATGTGAAACTTTGATACCAGAAAACACATTTAAATTCATCCTTGACTCTTTACTTGCTCTATCAAAGGTTTCTCAGCAGATTATACAATACGAAGGCTTTTGAAGTGCTGCATTTTGAAGTTCAGTCAAAATACACCACCACACTTACTTAAGCATGAAGAAAACAGCTTTTATTTTCTTTTGCTCATAAAGAGGAAGTTCCTAGAGTTGATTCCATTAGAAGGATTAAAGGTCGTGGAAGATCCTGACTTTTTGATGTAAACTGCTTATTTCCTCCTTGGCTGAACTCAGGTCACATCATTGATCTCAACAAGATCCATGTAGAATTCGGATGTATATTCTGATAAAAATAGCTCTTCCCCCATGCCGGCCTTGTTCAGTTTCCCCAAAAGGGAAACTGAAAAATTTAAAGTTAGCTAGCTCTCCCCTACTGAGGACACGAGTCTCCCTTTATTTTCCCCAGAAGAGTAAAATTACACTTAGGCAAGAGTGCTAGCACACAGCTTTAAACCCAACACTCAGGAGGCAGAGGCAGATGGAACTCTGTGAGTTTCAGGCCAGCCAAGGCTAGATAGCAAGACCCCCATCTCAAAAAAATTTATTTATTTTATGTGTATGCATGTATTGCCTGCATGTTGTTACGTACACCCGTGTTATACAATGCCTGTGGAGGACAGAAGAGGCTGACAGATCCCCTGGAACTGGAATTATAGACAGTTGTTAGCTTCCATGTGGGTGCTTGAATTTGAACCTGGGTCTTCTGCAAGAACAGCCATTGAGTCATCTCTCCAGCCACCTCAAAAATTAAAAAAAACAAAAAAAACCAAAAAACCCCATATTTATGGGAGAGTTGATCTTTTTCAAGGGAGTGACTATAGATAGACTGATTACACTCCAGGGGATGAACTTGCACTGAGAGACATCTGGGTACACAAACTTGACTTAGCAAGCTTTAACATATGATGGAATGCATGAAATCTGGTGGGGGGTATGGGGGGTTGTGGGTCTGAATGTAATTAACATGTATGAAATGAAAAAAATTCAATAAAAATACATGGAAAAGGAAAAAAAATTTATATATTTATTGTTTATTTATTTATTTATTTATTATTTATTTATTTGTGAGTAAGTGTAGGAGTGTTTACACCATGGCATCCATGTGGAGGTCAGAGGACAACTTGCAGAAGTCAGTTTTCTTCTTCTACCATATGGATCCCAGAGATCAAACTCAAGTCATCAGGCATGGCAATAAGCACCTTTAACCCACTGAGCCATCTTGCTGGCTCTGGAAAATGTTTTGACATCATGCTTTAGTGGTTTGGGGGACTGGAAAGTGGGAATACAGAGAACAGTGGGAATACAGGCAGTCTTCAGTAGGAGCTGCAGTTTGGTGGGTCCTGAGAGAAGTGACTGGCTTGTGGGTGCCCATACAGCTGTCATACCATGGCTGTGACAAACAAGAGCTAGGCAGCAGGAGAGGTGGTGGAGAGATGGTGATAACCAGCCACCTGGAAGCTGGAAGTAAGGGGCTAGAGATGGAGATTCTGAGGGCAGGTGCAAGACAGATGCTCTAGAGCTGGTCAGTTCTTGTCATGTGCAAGTCCTTATGAGTATCAGACAGAGGAGGGCAAAGGATGCTGGGCAGAGACGTGGAAACTATAGCTTGCTGAATTTGTTGGTGTGATGGTAATGTTGACTTGTCAACTTGAAAGAGGTTAGAATCACCTGGAAGATGGGCATGGGCAAGACTATGGGGATTCATCTTGATTCTGTTCATTGAGGTGGGAAGATCCACCCACTGTGGGCGGCTCCATTCCCTAGACAGGGAAATCCTGGACTGTGCAAAGAAATTGAGCTGAGGCACATATTCATTGCTCTTGTCTTCCATATGGTAGGAGAAGACAAGAATGCAATGTGATCAGCTGCTTCAAGCTCCTGCCGCCTTCTCCTCCCTACCAAGACAAACTGTAATCTAGAACTGTGAGCCAAAATAAACCCTTTCTCCATTAAGTTTCTCCTGTCAGAGTATTTTAGCACAGCAACAGGAAAGAAACTA